GATCGATAACGGGGAATGATAACGGGGAATGATAACGGGGAATGATAACGGGGATCGATAACGGGGAATGATAACGGGGAATGATAACGGGGAATGATAACGGGGATCGATAACGGGGATCGATAACGGGGAATGATAACGGGGATCGATAACGGGGATCGATAACGGGGATCGATAACGGGGAATGATAACGGGGATCAGTAACGGGGAATGATAACGGGGATCGATAACGGGGATCGATAACGATCGATACCCGAGGATCAATAACCGCTGATCAATCACCGATGGCTGCTGATCGATGCGGGGGATCAATAGGGCGGGGATGGGATCAGGGAGTTCTTTGGGGTCCTGGGATCAATTGGGATCAATTGGGATCAATTGGGATCAATTGGGATCAGGGAGTTCTTTGGGGTCCCATGGGGTCAGGGGTTATTTGGGGTCAGGGGTTATTTAGGGTCGGGGGTCCCGTGGGTTCCCATGGGGTCAGGGGTTATTTAGGGTCAGGGGCTATTTAGGATCAGGGTTATTTAGCATCAGGGGTTATTTATTTAGGGTCAGGGGTTATTTATTTAGGGTCAGGGGCTATTTAGGATCAGGGTTATTTAGGGTCAGGGGCTATTTAGGATCAGGGGTTATTTAAGGTCAGGGAGTTCTTTGGGGTCCCATGGGGTCAGGGGTTATTTAGGGTCAGGGGTTATTTAGGGTCAGGGGTTATTTAGGGTCAGGGGTTATTTAGGGTCAGGGGTTATTTAGGGTCAGGGGCTATTTAGGATCAGGGTTATTTAAGGTCGGGGGTCCTGTGGGTTCCCATGGGGTCAGGGGTTATTTAGGATCAGGGTTATTTAGGGTCAGGGGTTATTTAGGGTCAGGGGCTATTTAGGATCAGGGTTATTTAGGGTCAGGGGCTATTTAGGGTCAGGGGTTATTTAGGGTCAGGGGATATTTAGGGTCAGGGGTTATTTAGGGTCAGGGGTTATTTAGGGTCGGGGGTCCCGTGGGTTCCCATGGGGTCAGGGGTTATTTAGGGTCAGGGGTTATTTAGGATCAGGGTTATTTAGGGTCAGGGTTATTTAAGGTCAGGGGTCCCGTGGGTTCCCATGGGGTCAGGGGTTATTTATTTAGGGTCAGGGGCTATTTAGGATCAGGGTTATTTAGGGTCAGGGGTTATTTAGGGTCAGGGGTTATTTAGGGTCAGGGGTTATTTAGGGTCGGGGGTCCTGTGGGTTCCCATGGGGTCAGGGGTTATTTAGGGTCAGGGGTTATTTATTTAGGATCAGGGGTTATTTAGGGTCAGGGGCTATTTAGGATCAGGGTTATTTAGGGTCAGGGGTTATTTATTTAGGGTCAGGGGCTATTTAGGATCAGGGTTATTTAGGGTCAGGGGTTATTTAGGATCAGGGTTATTTAGGGTCAGGGGTCCCGTGGGTTCCCATGGGGTCAGGGGTTATTTATTTAGGGTCAGGGGCTATTTAGGGTCAGGGGTTATTTAGGGTCAGGGGTTATTTAGGGTCGGGGGATATTTAGGGTCAGGGGTCCCGTGGGTTCCCATGGGGTCAGGGGTTATTTATTTAGGGTCAGGGGTCCCGTGGCTTTGGGGTCGGGGGCTCCCGGCACAGCCCCAATCCCACCCCGCCCTCGCTGCCCCAGGAAGGCGCCGAACCCATAAAAGTTCCCAGATCTTTATGGCAGGAGGCACTTTCACACATCGGGGTGTAAACCCGGGGCCATAAAACCCCGGGGCCAGAAAACCCCAAAGACATAAAACCCCAAAGCAATTAAACCCCAAAGCAATTAAACCCCAAAGCAATTAAACCCCAAAGCAATTAAACCCTAAAGGAATTAAACCCCAAAGCAATTAAACCCCAAAGCAATTAAACCCCAAAGCAATTAAACCCCAAAGCCATAAAACCCCAAAGCAATTAAACCCCAAAGCAATTAAACCCCAAAGCAATTAAACCCTAAAGCAATTAAACCCTAAAGCCATAAAACCCTAAAGGAATTAAACCCTAAAGCAATTAAACCCCAAAGCCATAAAACCCCAAAGCCATAAAACCCCGCTGACCTTTGACCTTTGGGGCTGCAAAATCCATCCCTGGAAATCTTTGGGGTCTCCAGAAATTTTTGGGATCCATAAAATCCTTTTTGGGGTTCATAAAATCCTTTTTGGGGTCCATAAAATCCTTTTTGGGTTTTATAAAATCCTTTTTGGGGTTCATAAAATCCTTTTGGGGTCTGCAGAACCCGTAGGGGTCCGTGGGATCTTTTGGGGTCAATAAAACCTTGGGGGCTGTGGGAACTTTTGGGGTCCCTAAAACCCTTCAGGGGCCATAAAATCCTTTTGGGGTCGATAGAAACTGAGGGTCTCTGGAGCCTTTTGGGGGTCTGTGGAGCCTTTTGGGGTCTGGGGGACCTTTGGGGTCTGTGGGACACTTTGGGGTCTGTGGGATCTTTGGGGTCTGTGGGATCTTTGGGATCCTTTGGGGTCTGTGGAGCCCTTTGGGGTCTGTGGAGCCTTTTGGGGTCTCTGGGACCTTTGGGGTCTCTGGGACACTTTGGGGTCTGTGGGACCCTTTGGGGTCTCTGGGACCTTTTGGGGGTCTGTGGGACACTTTGGGGTCTCTGGGATCTTTGGGGTCTGTGGGATCTTTGGGATCCTTTGGGGTCCTGGAGCCCTTTGGGGTCTGTGGAGCCTTTTGGGTCTGTGGGACACTTTGGGGTCTGTGGGATCTTTGGGGTCTGTGGGACACTTTGGGGTCTGTGGGATCTTTTGGGGTCTGTGGAATCTTTTGGGGTCTGTGGGATCTTTGGAGTCTCTGGGATCCTTTGGGGTCTCTGGGATCTTTTGGGGTCTCTGGGACCTTTTGGGGGTCTGTGGGACACTTTGGGGTCTCTGGGACCTTTGGGATCCTTTGGGGTCCTGGAGCCCTTTGGGATCCGCGGTGGCCCCGGCCCTCACTGGGACACGGGGATGGGGACACTGCTCGGGACCCCGCTGTGACCCCAGTGTCCCCAATGTCCTTCTGTCCCCAGTGTCCCCAATGTCCTTCTGTCCTCAATGTCCCCAATGTCCCAAATGTCCCTCTGTCCCCAATGTCCCCAATGTCCTTCTGTCCTCAATGTCCCTGTGTCCCCAATGTCCCTCTGTCCCTGCTGTCGTTGGTGTCCCCGCTGTCCCCCTGCTGTCCTCACTGTCCCTCTGT